GGCGGCTACTCGTGTTCGCAAATGGCTCTCACTTACCATAAACAAAGTCTGCATCGGGGTCAGTTTCTATGGGGCAGGACATTGAATAGACAACAGTGAGATAGTTTGTCCGGCAACATCGCAGCTTTTACAGTACATGAGTATATTACGATATAAAAGAAACAACCATCTATTAATATGAGCTGAAACCTGTACTGATAAATATGTTGACTGGGTGGCATAGAAACAATCTCAAACGCATCATCAAAAATGCAGCTCACTGCTACACTTCATGCACTTGTTGCAATTAGTGGGAGCCCTGCACATGTTTCTCTTGAACAAGTGGACCTCCCGTTGTGATCCATAGCATAGCGTGTTGTAAGATCGGACATCGTAGCCAGATTCCCCAAAAAATAAAACTTTTTAATTTCACTTGTGGTTTTGACTTTTATTGTATTAGAGGAGAGACTTGAATATTTTGTAAGCGATCATGGTACCGGTTTCATTTTCGATCAAATGTCTACGCTTGCTTGAAAGGTCGTACGCAGTGTCAAATTCCCGTGTCGTAAATGTGAAATGAATAAAGTTCTTGTTGGGACACATTTGTTGACCATCAGTTCCGTGGTCCCGCTGGTATGAATATTTTAACGCTAATTGAAAATGGAATAGCCGAAACAAGCAAAGTTAACCGTTCTTGTCAATAACAACCGTCTTATTTTGGGGCTCTCTGACTGATACAGACGTATAAATACTGCGACATTTCACCACTCCGCATAACGTTATACTGTAGTCTTGTGACGGCGGGAGACACGTCCTCACTAATTGGTCAGTGGGAAAACAAGATGACAGAAACGCGTGATTAGCGATTCCTAGCTCTTAACGTCAATGCGCAATCGTAAAATCAACTTGTCGACTAATCAGTTCAACCCCTATTGTGCAGGTATACATCATATCGTGGCTTTAGCTAACCTACCTGCAAACTTTAGCAGCAGACATTCAATAAGTGTGTCAAGGTGTGTGCCATTGCACTCTTATCCTATTTCCCCCCCCATTCATGTGCTTTTTTTCCAATCAGTCACCATTGTGTGACCTACCTTGAGGAGACGGCATTTTCCTTGCGGGTTTATGTGTTGAGTCGTCCAAACTGCGGAGACAAACAATGCATACGTGCTGTAACAACAGCTGGTGATCTCTCCACACTTTACAGTTACTTTCTATTCAAAGACTGTATGCTCGCTGTAAGCGATCGCAAGCCGTGTTCCTTACGTGAAATGATGACTTGTGTGTGCTTTCAAAGGTTTTTGCATAAAGGTAATAAAAGCTGGTGGCTTGGTTTTTGGAACGTATCCTGTTGAGAGGAGCTCCCTCCTGACAATTGGCTTCCCTGTTGCAGTCCGAACAGCAGAATCATCGGGTTGAAATCGCCAATTAGAACTTTTAAAGGGTTCTTTGTGACAAACTCTTTTGACCTCACTCCTCCACACACACACACACAAACACACACGCACACGTATATGCGCGCGTACACACGCATACACACACACACTCACAATCTAGATAAAAAATAACTCAATATGGGTCTAAAAGGGACTGACCCAATATTTCAAGTTAAATGAATAATCCCAAAGAGTTGGGTCTAAATGTTGTTGGGTCAAAATTAATAACCCACAGAACAACCTCAAAACCCACAATACTCAAAACACACGCGCATGCGCACGCACACACACTTCACATTTGAGGAACTTGTACTGACTTAAAATCATTAACTACACAGATAAAAAAAAATCCTTTCAAGCTGGTGTGAGTTCTGGTTTTCAATGTACTCGTTCTGAGCTTTCTCCTTGAGGGCATTCTTGGTAGTTATTACAACATTATCCATTGATAAATCATTGCCACAATGTTCATCAACCTTGGACCTTGCACAATCGGACGGCTGAGCAATTGACGTGATTGTAGCGATATCGAAAAGAAAACTGATCCCTCAAACCTTTTTGGAAAGAAAAGACACAATTATGGGTTGGAAAGTGACCTCCAGTTTTCCAAGAGTGACTGGACAACAGATGGGGTAAATCCCACACAGAGAAATGGAACCACATGTCATAACGTAGGTCAAATTGGACGCTTTAAAGACTTATTCCTGCCCATCAATCAACAAAGAAAAGTCATGTGTGTCATGAAGGAAAATGTATTGGCAAATATTTAAAGTAGAAAACATATTTCGAAACATTCCGTCTCTGCATATGTATATGAATGCAGGTATATGTGAAATAAACCCTGAGAAAAGTCTGAGTGCCCTCCAAAGGGTTATGAAAAAGTCTAAATTTACAAGCAGTCATGTATTTGCCTTTCATTTCTAAACCATGCAGAGGAAAAATTTACATTGCCTGTAAACATTCATTTGAAAAAGTAAATCGTCTCTCACCTGCTCTGCAATCGTCCTTTGCTCAGGTGCGTGTGTGCATCATGGGGAGGCGTAGCTTCACGGGTGCACCCCTTAACTAACACACAAGTATTTTCCACGCCTACAGTTACTCAAGTTATGTATTTATAGTGTCATAAAGTTTGAACTCTGAAGTCAATAAAATGCCAACCTAACCCAACCGCTGGAATTAGCAGCAGAGTGCCTATCTAACAAACTTACAACCACCAGCCTACATGTGTTTTTATTATTTCTCTTGTAACAGTAGAATACTATTGGCACCAACTCAGAATGCGTTAGTGGTAAAGCGGTGTACACACATTCGGTAAGGATAGCCTGTCCTAATTTGAGCATGATTCCTCTAGTGTGATCAAAGGCAGCTAAGGCAATTCTTGGTCTCATTCAAAGGCCGACAATCGTAAATGTTAAACCTGTTCAATATTTCTGATCGCAAAACTTATATGTGGTTGACACCGAGTGCGGTGGAGCCCCAGAGGACGTGATTGTCATGTGAAATAGCCAACAAGGAAGTGATCTGAAGCTTGCACTGCAGTCACAAATCGAGGAGCAACTGCTTGTGTTGAGTGTCAATATTAGTGAACAATTTGCCTAGCTTCTTTTATTTCCTCTTCTACGATATTTCCTTCTGGTCCACGCTGCCTTTCACTGGTCGTGCTTGGTACTACAACATACATCTAGTTTGATGATTTTTGCATTATTAAGCACAGTAAAATGCGCATGTGAGGTGGTGGTGCAAAGTGTTATTTTTTTTCCACTTGGCATAACCGTGCTTACATTCTAGTGGACTATCATTGGCCTTGAGCGTGTATGGCTGTTAAAAGCGGGCTTACAAACATGAACACCATCGATGAAATTTGGATCGCTACGACGGATGTTTTGACTTTGACGACGATTGCGCAAAAGTTGTTCTTGTTAAACTCATTATTAGGAGGAAAAACCCTGGAGCACCCTACTGTGTTTTCTTCATAAGGGACCTTGACTGACTTTCATAGCTAACGGAGCCCAGAGCGCTGCGTCAAAATGAACACATGACCACGAGTCTTCAGACAGATTTATTCATATTATATGCCAAAAGCACGACATGTTGCAACACACCAAGGCCTCATGCGGCGAATGGACAAAGGGTTTGTCTCTTCAAAACACTTCAGATAAGTGAAAGTCTCACAGGTGATGTTTCGTTTTGGTTAGTGACCTTAAATGGCCATACAAATGTATTTGATGAATACAAAAGAAAGAGAGAGTGGACTTGATGTTCCCGTAAGAACCAACGGAGGGACAATGAGGGAGCGGCAGTGAGAGAGCTGATGCAGTAAATTCCACAATATTGTCAAATTACTGCAGTGGATGTAAGCAGGTCCGATTGTCTCCTACATCACACTTCCACACATGCATGCATGTATTCACACGTATGCATTTGTCAAGACACACACTTCCATACATACCAACTATATAGTTGTCTGTAAGCTATCTGTACTTTTAAATACTATATATATATATATATATATATTATACCACAGACATTTTCAAGGACGATTGACAACATTTAAATAAATAAATAAATAAATACATCCAGTGACACACTACACTTATGAAGAATTTACACATGCTTACAGTTCGTCATTATAAAGCCTTAATAAACAGTTATAAATGACGTCTAACAGTTATTCAATAATAACACAGGTGTCAAAGTCAAGGCCCGGGTGCAGGATCTGGCCCGCCACATCATTTTATGTGGCTCGAGAAAGCAAATCAAGCATGTTAAGTTCCGTGATGCTTGCTAAAGTCTGACCCAAAATTTCAAATGTTCATATGTAATCCACAATAACAGTCATTATTCTTGACTTCTGATTTTAAAACTAGTTATCCATCAATTTGTTGTGCGCTGTGTGTGTAATATGTGGAGGTGATTAAACTTTTATATGGTTTCCCAAGATTCATAACGGCCCTCTAAGGGAAACCGTAACTACAATGTGGCCCGTGACAAAAATTAGTTTGACACCCCTGAACAATACGGTCTGGGATCACTATTTGACGAGATCAAGCTACAGACGACAGCATCAACCATTCGTGTGGACTCACTTTTTGGCAAGTTCAAGCTACTTCCGCTATTGTTGCTTGCTCGTTAGTTAGTTGCTAAGTTTACACTTAACGACACAACTGATTTCCAGGAATCTTTGTGAAGGGGTGTTGATAGTCAGTCATTCACTGCTCATCCATTTCAGGCTCTGCTGATGACTCACTCATTGTCAGATTGTTTTGATTTGCATCCCAGCAAGACTCCCCGAACTCTGACCTTCTTGCCTCATCATTCTACCGTTAAATCCTCCCAGCCTTTCGCCCCGACGAGTTCTGCCTGCGCTTGTTTGCCTGTTTGAGATTCCGCTACCACGGCAACAAAGTGTGTTTCCCCATCCTGCTCTCAGTGAATTACGGTTTTGAATTAAGTTTTGTCACTGGACCTGTCACAATTCATAAATCCTTCCCCACTAGTCCAGTGGTCCGGCGTACTGCACTTGGGTCTTACCGCCCAGTCGCCCATTACAGTGCATGTGGCAAGCAATAGCGGGGCATCCAAATAAGATGCAGATACAATAATTGATTAGCAGTTTTACCTTGACATGCCAATTCTATTAAGGCATAGTGGTGTTATGACCAAGCAGCTCCAGCAGATGGAGAGCCACCAACAGGGGACAGCATGTTTCGGCTTTGTCAGCATTGGCAGCATTGGTTTCTGTTAGGTTTTAGTGATGTTACAGTCCACTTGGGGCCAAGTGGTGTATCAACCAATCAGCAGGAGCTCTACCTATAGGGTTAGCACGGGCTTTCACATCTTCTTTAATAAAATAAGTCAGAGACATGTATAGTATTGGTCAGCATTGATGGTAAAATTTACTGTTTACCATACTCGTAGAGCTTGCTGCACAACAAGCATGGTGGTTCAATGTCATCTGGTAGTTTATTAAGGCTTAATAACATGTTTATAACTCCTTTATAAACCATCCTTAAGCACGTTTGTGATTGTAAAGTGCTACCGAAAAGGCTAAACTCTAAGAAGCAGTAACTGGAAGTAAAAAAATAAACAGGACCACCCCACGCAGACACACTTTCTAGCTTAAAGACCATCTTGTGTCCAAGGTGCGATTACAGTAGCTGAGACAGTATAGACAATTTGACAGTATAATCAAAGTGAGAGACATCTACATGAAAGCACAAGAAGAGACGAGAGCACTGAGGACAGTCACGACAAAGCACAACGGGCTAAAGATTTGTCTTAAGGGTATATATGATTTCTGTACACATTTTATTATACCCTTACCTTGTTGTGTCACCACTAACAGTTATAGCTATGATGCAGTGGATTCATGTCAAATAACATCAGAAGGCAGTGCGAGCTGACGGCAGAGGAGCTGCCTCAGTTTTCCGCCGGAGTCTCTTTGGCAGCTGCTGCAGCTAAAAAAAATAAGTACAGTAATATATAATTGAACTCCGTAAAGTGAACCTCCATTTTGAATTTATGGATGTAAGAGATGAGGCAGAGGTGACGGAAGCCAACAAGGGAGGTGAAAAGGGGCAGCTCACCTTTGGAGACAATGAGATTTTCCTCCTGTGCCTCCTCATCCCCGGGGGCCCTGCAGAAAGAGAGAGAGGGTGCCGCAGATTGCCATGGTAACCACATGTGTCAAGTGGCGTGACTAAAGTGCTTTTTGTCATTCAGAAGGGCACAGCGGCATACCTGGGTTTCTGGCTGATACTGCAGCGGCACCGTCGACCTTGAAATGCAAAGGAGAAATTCATTTGGAAAATACAGTCCCCTCCAAAAGGACTGGAACAACAAAGTCAATTCCTTTGTTTGTGTTGTCGATTGAAGACATTTGGGTTTCAGAGCAAATGATGAATAGATATCCAGGTTTTATTTCTTGGTATTTATATCTAGATGTGTTAAACAAATGTGTTAAACTAAGACTGTATCTCAAATCAACTTTACCAATTGAAACGAATGGAAATGCCATTAATCCACTCTAGTCCTCATTTGTACTTTATTAAAACATCCATCCATCTAGTCTCTATTCCGCCTATCCTCACTACTGATAACATATTGAATTATATTGAATGCAAGGAATTGAACAGATGTCATTAATTCATTGAACCTTCTTCTGATGTGGATGTCTTGGCCAGCAGGAGGCAGTATGATAAAGCTATATACATAATAGACTTCGGGTTTTATTTTTTCGGTGTAAATTTTGCATGATAAGTGACATAGCTTTGTGACAGATGCAGGTTAGACCGGTCTTGGCGATTTCGTAGATGAGCACAGGCCGGCAGATCTGACAGTGGGTGGGCTGGGGGAGAGATTACTTCACTCACCGCCAATCAAATCTGCTCATCTCATTCTTTTTAAAAGTGGCCCGCACAGTCTCGCACGGCAAGGTGACACCGTTTTGTGAATCGGAGGACAATGTATAATCACGGCGAGCCCTATTCAGAACTCAAATTCACCAAAATCGTGTTAGATCAGCAGTCAGCCCTATGCCAAGGCTAAGACATGTTCTGAGCAGGTGTAAGTTGAATGGACTTTCTGCCACCAAACTGTGATGTGGCCGGGTGCATGTCCAAGGACACTTCCTCTGTTTGGCACAGACCAGTCTGCCAAATTGGCAGAAATGGGCAATGAGCCTTATGCTTGTGCAGAAATGAGGGCTTTGCTATCTGCTGCGAAAATAGAGCCCTTAAAGTTGATGGTGAAACACAAAGAGGACCACTAAATCCATACTGTAATTGCCTCTTTGTGTCGGTTGTTGGGCAGCATTTCCAGGCCAAAAAAAAAAACACACTCAAAAGGTGTCTTACTTACTGAGAATAAGCAGAATTCCCAGCGTGAACAGCACCACAGCTAAAGCCAGTCCACAAATCCTCAGGCTCTCGTAGTCTACATGGCAAGATGGCGGGTGGCAAAGATGCACGGAAGCAAACATTTCATTTTGTCGTCATGCAGACAAACAGTACAATTGCTTATGTTTGGAATGTGTTACATTCTTGAAAGTGCTGGCTTAAAAACCACCTAAATTGGGTGAAATAACGAACCCAATGCTGGGTACAAAATGGATGATGGGTTATTCATGCAGCGCGTTGGATTGAGTATTAGACGCAGCAGTTTGGGCCAAGATTTTGATTGAACAAGAGTATAAAATACACTGTAAATAATACAACTTTTGTTTTTTGGGGGAGGGCGAAAAACAGTGATTTGAGTTAGAGCAACTTTAAAATATAATTGATTGACCTTTATGGCAACAATGTTAGTTAGCACCACAACGTAAGCAAGGTGTTTGCTCCAAAACGATTTGCTCGGTTGTTTGTACTTACATCTTGAAGTTGGGGAGACCAATATAAGACGATACATACCATAGACAAAAGGGTTTTCCTCCTTCTCAGGTTCATCTATAAAAACACATACATACTTTTTCATTCACACCTTCTTTTTTTTTTTTTTGTACTGATATTTGTGTTGGGCCCACTCACCCTGAACATCGACGTCTGCGACAGCTGACAGTCATCCACACGAGTCCCAAATAAGACATAATTAAAAAAACAGCCTCAGTGTGGTGGTTGACAAGTTAACCAGACAGCATCAGACATCAAGCATGTGTTGGGGTGTCACCATTGTGTGACTTTCACACTTGGCCAATGTGCGAAAGTCACAAAAAAAAAAAAAAAAAAAAAAACCCTCAAGGAGTCAGTGATGAGTCAATGCTGCCTCCCTATGGACAATCTGCATCTATGCATGCCTGGGACTTTGTTTTGTGTGTTTGTGCGTTTCATACAAGAGACCGGCAGGGACATGACTAATGACTGGATTACTTCTCACACAATGTAAATGTTCTCAGAACAGAAGTGGATTTTTTTTTTTTTTTAATCACTAGTGAAATGTGTGAGTTTTTTTTTTAAATGGAGCAAAACAGTCATAGATGAGGTTATAAAATACATTCATTAAAATTAATGTGACAAAATGTAATTTAACAAAAGAAAAATAATTACAACTTTTTTATGTACAGTAGATGTAAGTTTGTTGTTTTACGGATATTTCATGCAAGCTAATAATAACGCCAGAGACCACATTCTTGAATTAGATTAATTACATATATATTTTTGAACATAGCAATTTCGGGGGGGCAACTGAATTGATGCAAAAGTTAAATGGAAAAAAAAAATCCATTCATGCCCAGTGCCAGCCATCTTCAGACCCTAAGTCTTGAAAAACTGTGTGTGTGTGTGTGTGTGTGTGTGTGTGTGTGTGTGTGTGCTCATGTACTTACCAGCGACACACACGAGAAGCGAAGAGAGGAAGAGAGAAGTAGTTTCCATGGCAACTGTTGATAAAGACCACTAAAAAAGGGAGGGTGAGAGGAGCAAAAATGAGCGTCAAACAGGAAAATGGCAATGGCTATGCTGCATTTTGAGAAGCGAGCCCCCTTGTACATCCATCAATATGGTACAAATTCCTTTACAACATGGCACTCGAACCCATTGCCAAGCATTGTTACAAAAAGCTGAACAACATTGCGTTTAAAAGGGCAGAGCTGCTGTTCGTCATTTCTCATTCAATTAAAGAGAGAAGAAATAGACTTAGTTTTCCCCTACTAAAAATGGCCTTGGGTATGATATCACATACAAAACCAGATCACGCAGCCGGAGTGAAGTGTCTCTCTTTAAATGGTCTTATCGATTTGCTTGTAATGTAATATAGATGAAGCTCACAGGAAGGAATTTCCACTAATGGTTCATTACAGTTCAACAGGATGTGTTTGAGAGACAGTCTTCAAGAGAGGACTTGGCTGAGGGAAGCGTCGACCTCCGCCAAGGCAAGAAGCAAATTCTATACCTGTCCTATGCTGTAGATTCCTGCTTAGAGTGGATATAAAAAGTTGACAGACCCCTGTTCAAATGTAAAAACACAAACAAAACAGCATGCATCAGCAAAATAACGCCATGACAGGGAGGCATGGTGGTGGCTTAGAAAAGGTGTAGTGAATTATGAACAGTTCAAAATGGTCAGTGTTGGCATGAAAAAAGCAAAATAAAGGAAACGTCGATGTGAACAGCAGGAGTTTATATGTGATTGATTACCTGTGAGAATAGATTGCCAGTTAGGGTGTGCACACTTTTGCAACCACATGTTTTCAGTTGTTGATTTTTACTTCCTAGAGCGAATTATATTAAATATTTTTTAAAGTTAATTGTGCAGGTTGTAGGTCACGTCACTGGTGGAAAAAAATTTTAAATTATTTATCGTGGTCTAATTTTTTGTCTATCGCAAAGGCAGCTGAATAGGGTGTGTAGATCTTTTATAAACACTGTATGCATGTCTGAAATACTCTCATGCAGAAGTACTACCATGCAGAAACACCCACATCCCCCGCAGGTGTTACGTCAGAGACAAAAGGCAGGCAGAGGTGCATTGAGTTTTGTCGGACTAGAAAATGAGAATTTGCCAACAGCATTGGCTCCTGATCAGCAACTTAACTTGAGTGGACGGTGAAGTTGATGCGCAGTGGTGGCAGTTATTTATTTATTTATTTTTAATGTGCCCATGCACCACATACACACAGTTTGGAATTATCAAGTTGTGTACCCCAATATATGATGACGACCTGGGGGCACCACTGATTTCTGGTTTCAAATTCACGATCCATGTGGACCACCTCTGCAAAATCGTTCTCTCATTCAGGAATGAATTAATACTTGCGCCATCTCCAAGGACGCCACACGACCTTGGCCTATTTTCATGCAAGCCACATGCACACAAAGAGTACCACTCACGTGAAACACTCATTACAACAATGTGGTCTTTCACATAACGCTCAACCTGTCAGTCTGTCTCGAGGTGCACTCTGTCTGATTCCATTCAAGTCAATCCACGAAACAAGATTTTTTTTTGTCTCCTTAATTATAATAGGGACATTTGGCGCATCATACATCAGTAGTAGGAGCGTCCATGCCCATTACTTTTGGCAAGATAGCTGCTTGAGAACAAACGTTTATGTTTCTTCAGTAGATGAAATCATCTGCTATTTACTACCACAGACTTTTAACAAACTAAAATATTTGTGTGCGTGTGTGTGCGTGTGTGTATCCATCCAAACTGCTTACCGTGTATATGTAAAACCATAAAGATTGACGCTAACTGTTAGCATGTCAAAGGCGTTTTGCAAAGCACTTAGCAAAGCACATTTTGCCAGGGCAAAGCTATGGTTATTTTAAATGTGTGTGATTCTCTTTCTTACAGTAAATTAGTATATATTTAGTGGAGTAAATTAAAGAGTTAAACATCTCATGTGTATTTGACGAGGCCGCACCCTTTCACCCAATTTAAACGGCCCTCATTGTCACATTACATATGGCAAAATGCACGATAAATTCTGCATTGTGTCATGACGTCATAGTCTCGCTTTGAACAACATAAGTGGGTCAAATGAACCGATCACACGTACGCAGCAGAAGACATCCTTTCGCCCCACGTGACTTCACGTGGCAACAGTCCGCGCGGTCCTGACATGTCGGGTTTTTTTTTTTTTTCTATCTCCGTGGTAACTGGGTCCGGTTGGATAGTCCGGGGACCAGAGGAGTCCACTCGTGAAACGCGAGGGGCGTGGCGGCGAATCACCGGAATAAACGAGATGAGCCGCGAGTGAAAAATATAAACAATGGGATGACAACGACAAATACGAAAATAAGATAAGGAGATGTGCATTAAGGGTAGAAGACCCGTTACACGCGCGCGCGCATTCAACCTGTGGCTCGCCTGATGGCGGACGGGAATGCGTCCATTATCCACCCACCACTTCTAATTTCAATGTCGAAGCGTCACGACACACGCCTATTGTTCATGATAAGACATGATGATGATTTATTGCGCAAGGAGACACACCTTCGTTCGAAATCTCACTCAGTTTTATCTTTTGGAGGGGCCATGGTGAAAAAAAAAACACCCCAACTAACCAATCATCATTTGTATTGCAGCCGCATTATGAATGTTATTCCTAATAACGAGCGACTTACCTTTTATTTATCCAGCAGTTCAACAAAGAGATAAACCACCCACGGATAACACTCAGCTGCTCTCCAGTGTTCTTCTCTTCTGTGTATGTGCGTGTGTGTGTGTGTGGGGGGGGGGGCAAGCAGGACCCGAGTAAAAGCTACAAATATGAGGAGGAAGAAGAGGAGAAGGCGGGATGGACAACAATATGATCTCCTAGAATGACTGTTTTTTTTCTTTCTCGCTCTTTCTCCCGAGGTCAAGAGAACTTCCTTATTACTGCGAGCAGCAAAAGAGGGTTTTTTTTCCATTTACATTTTATTTAGTCATTATTATTTGGACAATGCAGAGATTCCGCAAATCAAAGGAAGAAAAAAACAAATAGAAAAACAGGATACATTGAGGATTCTTTAAAGTAGATCAGGCGCATTCACACACACGCACTTAAACTGCCCTTTAAATATTTGAAGTCCGAGACGCACCCCGAGGGGGGAAGCACAGTCATTTGTTTTATTTATAGAGGAATCTCGACAGTGGGTTCAGAAAGACATTCTTCCCTTAGGAAATAACAAATAGAATTGATTCACATTAAGTTCTTGAAAATTATAAAGTAAAATGGGGTCATGTCTGTCTAATATATATATATATATATATATATATATATATATATTTTTTTTTTTTTTAAGTATGAGGTCATTTTGAAGGAAAATTCATGTTTTGGGAATAACATTATTTGGGGCAAAAAAGAGGAAGAAACCATTTTTTCCCCCAAAGAAAAAATTTAATTGTACAACACTAAAAATGTTTGCTGCCGTCTTTCTGCTTTCCACTTCATAGTAAATATAACATTAATGCAATGTATATATATTAATAAGCCATTATGTCATGCTGGCGTATTTAAAGAATGAGGATTTTTTTTTCCCAAAAGTAATGTTAGAGTATAGCTAACACGGCATTGCTAAAAATGGAAAATGCTCCTCTGAATATCCCCATGCAACAATTAAAACTTAATTCTGCCTCATCTTAATCTTGTGTTTATGACAATACCCCCCCCCCAGACACTTATTTTTTTGAGAAAAATATTTTTTATTCTTATAACATGATTTTCAAACAGATGCACCTGGACCATCTAACATTTGAACAGTGTAAATTGCTAACCACGGTAAAATAAGAAAAAAAATGCATTCAATAAACAAAACAAAAAACTTGAGGTTTAAAAGTTTCGTATGCAGCTGAGATCTAGAGTGGGCTAACTCAATTCTTGGCATTTCTAGGTTACTTACAGAAATAAATAGAGATAATGCATATAATTTACGTAAACACTGATCTCAATGAAGTTTACACTTATGGCGAGCAATCCTTAGTGTCTCACCTGGCCCATTTGTGAATTCATTAGTGCAACACCGTGCCAACTCCCATTTCCAAGATGGCCGTGTGGCCGTACCCATGACAACAGGCTACTCCTCCCACAAAAACATCTCACAAAGTGACACTCAGAGATTGATAGAAAACTCAGAATATCATGGATAGCAGTGCAGATGTTTGAATTTGGACCACGATCACCCCCCCCCCAAAAAAAAAATACATTGACAAGGGCCCAACCTATAAAACTGAAGATGACAGTAAAAACTGTCAGTAATACCCACAAAAAAAAAAACAGACAAAATACTAAAGCCGGGGGAATTCTGTCAATCAAATATTCAAAAGAAGTAACCATTGCCATATAAACCACCAAGATAAGAAGTTATCGCAGTCATAAAACTTTGAATTCCTCTCCTGCCAAAAGGACCTCAGCGGAGTTAGCCCATTCTAGTTCTGTGGCATAAATGGTCAGGGGCATTCAACGGTACAGGCTCCATAACATGTTGAGTGTAAATCGTTGAGGAAAATCCCAGAGGCAGTGTTGCATTGGCAGAGACCACATACGCAAAGGGCCGGCCATCTTTAAAGTGTGTGACATGTCAGAAGTAGGAAGGATTGCAAGACAAGTCATCAGTGCATCAAGTGGTAACACAGTCGTCACACAGCTGTAAACATGTCATTTGGTATTGTGTCACCGCCTCATGCCCTCTGCTCCATAAAAGGTTAAATCCGTCCGTATTCTGTTTGACACAGAGCCTCTTCCGTGATTGCTTGAAGACAGATTCTCAGTGCAGTGCTCAATGGAGAAAACGGAGGGAAACCAGTGGTGTTACTGCCTTGCGAGCTGTGGGAGATCAGGGTATAAATCAATGAGAAGGTTGGTTGGGGGGGGGCGCCCTCTAGCGGTCCATAAAACATCCATCCATCCTTTCATCTTCTCATCCATACAAGGGTCATGGGGCGTGTTGGAACCTATCGCAGGTGTCTCTGGGCAGTAGGCGGGGTACACCCTGAACTGGTTGCCAGCCAATCGCAGGGCACACAGACGAACAACCATTCGCGCTGACACTCACACCAAGGGACAATTTAGAGTGTTCCATTCACCTGCCACGCATGTTTTTGGAATCTGGGAGGAAACCGAAGTACCCGGAGAAAACCCGCATAGGCACGGAGAGAATATGCAAAATGTACACTTGGAGGCCGGAGCCGAACCCTGCACTGTGAGGCGGATATGCTAACCAGTCGACCGCCATGCCGCTCATAGTAATTAAGATAACATGTAATTGTATTCATTTTATTGTTTTTAATTATAACCTTTTTTCCAAATTAGCAACATTTTAAAAACGAGTGACAATGTTACTCTGGGACTGGGGGGGCGGGGCTTCGACGTAGCCAATTTAATGAATTTGAGAGTCTCACCTGCATGTTGGTATGGATCCAAGGCAGAAGACTGTTGACTTTGGTGTAAACACCTGGTTTGTTTGCCAAAGCGCATCCATCGCCCCAGCTGGTAATGCCCACCAGGTACCACACATCGTCGGTCTGACACACCAGTGGTCCACCACTGTCACCCTAGGTAACACGTTATAAAAATGAGTTCAACATACTGATTATTAATAAGAAAATCAGTTTGTTTTGGTAATTAATATACCGGTAGCTTGGGAAAAGTGCAACCTGCTTCTTTTCAAGCCAAATTATTTTGCAAACCCAATAAAAGGGTATTTAATATCCTTAAAAAATAATTTAAAATGATGTAAGAGGACCATAAAAACAATTCACAAAAAAAAAAAAAAAAAAAGAACCGGTCTGCTTTGCATTTGTACTGTGCCCTCAAAACTCCCATGAAAACAAAACAATTGTCATCATATGTCAAATACAGTACAAATCTGCCCGGCAACTCACCTGACAGGAATCTCTGCCTCCCTCCAAATGTCCAGCGCAGACCATGTTTTTGGTCACAGCGCCTCCGTACACCCAAGGGTTGTTGCATTCTATTGTACTGATGATGTCGACAGTTACCTCCATCAACTCATCAGATACTCGGCCTGCGTTGAAGAAAACCATGTGGAAAAAAAATGCACAAAGCACATTAAAACACAACCAGAGTTTGTTGGCAGTGCACCTCTAAACTCCATTTTGGCCTGCATCAAGGTTTTTGAAAGAAGGATGGTCACAAGAGAAGATGTTACCAGGAAGTGGAATAATTTCCAAGTACCGGTACTACTACATTACTTCTCATGCTAATAACGGAATTTACTGCATATGCTGAATATGCACAGGTAGAGCAACAGAGTGGACAGATTACGCCACTTGGAAGCGTGGGCACGTGCTCTGGTGCGACTGCATTCTCGTTGCTGAGCGAGCGCTGTCATTTGTTTCCTTCCAGGTAAGAGAGAAACATTTTCCAAGCCTACCTGATTCTGGATCGGTGGTACCAAAGCCCGACGTCCAACAAGCAGTGCCAGGGAGGAATTGCTGCGCAGTAACTGGTAGGCATGCCGGGTGAACATCATCTGAAAGTAAGAACACAGATTATAAATCTGCATGCTGTGTGTTCTCGCAGCAAATTAGTCAGAAACAACAGAGCATAGAAGACTGAAAGCTGAAAAGAATGACTTTGGAAAAAAAAAAGTTGAACGGGATTTGAATCTGAAAACAATTTAAAAGGGATTTTAATTTGTTTTGATTCCCAATCAAATGTACCGCCCTTGAATCGTATCACACCGTATGTATCAAATTTTCTTATTGGAGAGGTATGCAGACAAGCCCATTCCAATGAAGTTGGGATGTTGTGCTAAACATAAAAACAGAATACATAGATTTGCATGTAATCTTCAATCAATATTTAATTGAATATACTACAAATGTAGCATATTTAATATTCAAAGTGGCAAACTTTGTATGAGCAAATTATCATTAACTCCGACATTGCAACACATTCCGACAAAGGTTCATGTTTACCACTGCGTGACATCAAATTTTCTTTTCAAAAGATTCAATAATCATTTGTGAACCGAGGAGCCTAGTTGTTGAAGCTTTGTAGGTGGAATTCTTTCCAATTCTTGCTTGATGTTCAACAGGGTCTCTGTTGTTGTATTTTACGTTTCATAATGCGGCACACATTTTTAATGGAAGGGACGTCTGGACTGCAGGCAGGCCAGTGTCACATCTGCACACTTTTACTCCGAAGCCATGCTATTTTAACACGTGCAGAATGTGGTTTGATATTGTCTTGCTAAAATAAGCAGGGGCGTCCATGTAAAAAACATCTTGCTTGGATGGCAGCATATGTTACAGCAAAACCTGTATGTGCCTTCCCTGGTGGGGAAGTTAAGCATGCCATTGGCACCAAAACAGCCCCATACGATTACAGATTCTAGCTTTTGAACTTTGCGTCCATAACAGTCCAGAATGTTCTTTTCCTTTTCCTCGGAGGACACAACGTCCCCAATTTCCAAAAACAATTTGAAATGTGGACTCGTCAGACCACAAAACACTTTTCCACTTTGCACCAGTCCTTAGATGAGCTCGGGCCCAGAGTAGCCGAAGGTGATATTCAGTGTTATCAATAAATAGCTTTTGCTTTGTAGAGAAGTTTTAAATTATACTTACGGATGTAGTGCCGAACTGCATTTACCGACAATGGTTTTCTGAATTGTTCCTGAGCCCACGGGCCATCTTAGATGAGATCGGGCCCAGAGAAGCCGACGGTGATTTTCAGTGTTATCAATAAATAGCTTTTGCTTTGTATAGAAGATTTAAATTGTACTTATAGATGTAGTTCCGAACTGTATTTACCGACAATGGTTTTCTGAATTGTTCCTGAGCCCGCGTGGTATCCCACTTGCGGGCCATGTTGAGATGTCATGTAGCAAACAAACTGACAC